GTACAAAACAGGAACAAAGAACTCACCTCTCAAAGCGCAGTGGAAGCTTGTATCTGTGCACAAACAACCTCCTTGTAAAATCTTCTCGTCCTCAAGAATAATGCAAAGGAAATAAAACTCCCACCAAGAGTAACACTCGCCATTATCAAAAACGACAGCATAAAGCAACTTCTTCCAATGCACATCCCACTCTCTGAAGCTTCTCTATCATATATATAACCCACCACTCTCACAGAGAATATATAAGAACCCACAGGGCTCGCAATAGCAATGCTATTAAAAATAGTCCCAAAATGCACCAATCCAAACAATTCTGAAGTAATGCTCGGCATCAATGCCCATTGAGAACCATAGCACACACCAACGAGCACCGAACCTATGTGCAACGAACCAGGAAGCGCCGAAGAGATAACCAAATGACCTATACTCATGGTTCCTAGGGTTAGGGCAATGAACAAAGGTCTAGCCCAGCCTCGAGTATGAAGCATGTAATCAGAGATGTAGCCACTCCCGAATCGCCCTAAAAAATTCCATATGCTCCATAGAGATACCAATGTACTTGTGGCCATGGTAGAATAACCAAGTGAACTTCCAATTTGGCTCATGTTGTTGACTGTGGCTAATCCTGAACCCATGCCACATGACATTGCTATAAATAGTAGCCAGAAATCGAGAGTTTTCATGGATTGCAATAGGTTCAAGCTTTCTCCTTTTGGGGATGGAACTTGAATTTCTTGATCTTTAGATAATGTTTCTTCTTCTATCAGTGATTTTCTTTCATCAAATAAGATTTTGGATGATTCACTTGGCTGGGTTCTAGTAACAATAGTTAATGGTGATATGAGAAGTATCAGAAGCAGTGTGAATGAGAAAATTCGGCCTGATAATCCCATTGTGAAGATATTTTCTCCAATTATGACAAGCATAAGATACGCAGCAGTAATCACGGAGATGATAGAGAAAGAATTTAAGTGTCTCTTGTCATCGCTTCTGTTTGGGTCATGGTAAACTTGCACAAAATACATGAGCAGAAGAGAAAGGATTGAGGGCAACAGGGCGAGCATTAAGATGAAAGAGCTCGCTTTGCCATTGAAAAATGTACGATATATTTGGATGAGTATTGCACCACTTAGTCCCAGAAAGCCCTACATGAGCAATATGTAGTCAAAACCACGGCTGAAAACAGTAATAAGGTGCATGTTACTATTAATCTCAAAGTGAATCTATTGCATGAAAATTTAATCATTTTGCTCTTCTATCGTATTCAAATAGTTTCCTCTTGCTCATATTCCCTTGCCAAAAATGTGATACCAAGTTAAAGGGTTGAAATTAGGTCAACAATCATCCTAGATCAATATGTCCACGGAATATGTGCTCCATACACATGAATCATGAGTGAGAGAAAGAGAGAGAGAGAGAAGAGAGAGAGAGAGAGAAATTCCCCCCTTAAGAATTTCATGCACACAATACATGGACTTAACATCGATAAAGAAGAAAATGGTACACATCTCCCACCAACTTTACAACTAAGGAAGCGTTTGGAAACTGGGGCATTTTTGCCTTTTCTGTTAAAAAAAAAAACAATGAAACGCGTTTGGTGAACGTGGTGTTTTTTTGGGCTGACCCTTTACAAAGCCCAAAAAATAAACGCTTTTCTCAAAACACCAAAAAGACGTTTTAAGATCCCGTGACTTCTTTTCCCCCCAAACCCAAGCCGATCCCCTTTTCTCCCCCTCAACCCTAACAGCCGTCGCCGAAGCATTAAAAAAAATTTATTGAAAGTGAAATAATAACCCTAGCTCTGATACTATGTTAAAGTGAGAGAGAGAGAGAGAGAGAGAGAGAGAGAGAGAGAGAGAGAGAGTCTTGGGTAAATTTCTCCTTAAGTTGAATATTAAGTGTGCACATATATTTATATAAGTAGAGGAGGGTGAGGTGTGTTCTCACAACTAATGTGGGACTAAAAACCCACTACTACTATTATCAATACTATTATCAACACAGATAATATTTCCTCCTTAGAAGTAATTCTCATTACCTTTATTCACCAAACGACTACTCCTTCTAGATTTTTTTGGGGGGGGGGGGGGAGGATTTGGATGTTATGATTTAATCTACATAAACCAATTTTGGGTACCAGCTAGTTTAAACATGGAATGAGTGGAGAAGGGGACATAAGAATCGAGCAAATTATCTATTTTTGCTGTTACTTTTTGGTGAACATAAGCTCTTTAATTGTTAATATTTATTCTTTTTATTTGTTTCAAATATATATTATCAATGTCATTAGAACATGTTGAACAATTATTCATTATTGTTTCATGATGGTGGTGACATATTAGATTTTTTTAAAAAAAAAATTGAATTGTAGGCATTGAAAAAAGCTCCCGAATGGTGGTTGGCCGCACAACCGTAGCGCCGCCGCATGGCCGAATGTGGCTGGTGCGTGGAACGTGACGACATGATGGGCGACATCGTGGCTGGTGGTGGGGAGTGGCAATAGGTGAAAGTAAGGTTAAGTGGTTGGGTGTGACTAGTGGTTGTTGATTGATATTATGTGCTATATAAATGGTCAAACTAGTTTGACCAATAACTTTCAAAATGGTGTTTTCAAAACACTTTTGAAAAAAAAACACCATGGCATGATGTTTTCCTACAAAAACACATGAAAATCACTTTGATTACCAAACACACCCTAAATTTTCTAAAATCCTGTGTTAAATTATTTAGTCCTGCTCGAATTTTCTTATTATTCTAAGGATGGAACCTGCTCCACATTGTAGTATCAAAATGCAAAACTAATTGTTGTGATTGTCACAATATAATACACTCTCATATTGACAAAGAAGGAAAAAGATACACAACTGCCACAAGCCTTATTGTTAAATATCCCAATATTCTAATTCTAAAGGTTGCTACATTCTAACTGTATCCTGTGACATTATAGGAATTTTCAATCATATTCTGAGGATAGAACCTGTAAATGAGCTTTACACTTTCTAACTACAAGACAAATAATTGAAAGAGTCACTTCTATTTGGTTTCAAATGTATTCGTCTAACAAAGACATAAGACTGAGACTTGGTTCATATTGGAAAGTGGAAGATTCATAATGATTTAGATATTTTTAGAGTCATTTATCAAGTATGCTTCCAGTCATATGAGCCTAGCCATCTCTTTTAGTGGTGTTGACGTGAAACAATGTGCATGCAGGTATGAAGAACAACGATAACAATATTTCACCAAATCAACGATCGATCTAGGCAGGAAACTCGAGAAGAAAGTGAAGCTCTAGATGGGTTTAACAAAGATTGTAATGTACTAAATTTACGGCCTTGTAAATTATTCAGAAAATAAATATAATGATTTGTTCTCGTAATAAAGTTCGACTTGTAATATTTAGATCAACAGAGATACGTGACAAACAGAGTCACTCGCTCACTAATCAAGCAGAATACATCACAATCGCAATTGATATTAAAATTGATAATAACATACACGCGATAACAGTTCCTAAAATACTGGGTCGAAAGAAAACAAAACATTCGTCGGTCTGAACAGGCTCGACGTAAGGACCTCTGGAGGTGGTGAGATGACGCCAAATATGAGGGGAGAGAGTTCTCCTCCGAGAGCTACGTAGCTGGGGTGAAGTGGTGTGTCTGGATGGAAACGCCGGTGCCATGAACTGATTCCCAAATGACTCTCCACGCTATCAGCAATCTGGGGAGTCACGCGATCGACGTATTCTGCTGGGGTATCAAAGGCTGGTAGTCGAACCACTGAGAAAACTACAAATCGATCACGACGGTCTCTGGATTGTACACGAATTGAGCGTCTTCGGCTGCGAGATCGGCCATGCATAAATAGGACGCGAAATTAGAACTTGAATCGGCGACGAACGAGGCGGAGATCTGACGATGACGAGACGACGACCACGCAACGACTGGATGCGCGGATGACGGGAGGACGCGAGCGGCATCGGAACTGCTCATAAGTGGAGGAATAGGGGGGTTCGGTGTGGCTAAGGCTGCGAGGGTGAAGGGAAGCAGGGGATGTTAGTGGCCTCTTTGAAGGTTGCAGGCGGCTTGTGGAGGTTAGCGGGGCTGCTCGGAAGGGAGAGTGTAGGAGGGGAATCGGTGGGGTTGTGGAGGAGAAGAAGAGGATGTTGGCGGCACTGGTGGAGAGAGCAGGGTGACGGTGTTCCGGCGGTGCTGGCGGTATTAGGAGGAGAAGGGCGGAGTGGACTGGTGGCTTGTGGAGGAAGAGGAAAGAGGGGTTGTTCGGCGATGGAGGAGGAGAAAGAGCAGAGGGGTTGTTCGGCGGTGGAGGAAATGAGCAGGGGAAGGAGGTGTTTCGGAATCTGTGGAGGGGAAGACGGAGTTGGGCGGCTGCTGGAGGGAGCGACGACTAGAGGGGGAGAGGTGGCTGATCGGGGAAGGAGGAGAAGGAATAGGGGATCACGGCTAAGGTTTCACACCCGCGTTTCACACGCTCACAATGCAATTAGCAACAAATTTTCTTAAATATTCATTAATCATTTCTGATTACAGAAGTGCTTTAAAAAGAAAAGAAAAACACAAATTTGGAAATCCCTCAAATCACTCAGATACTAAAAACTAATTAACTACTAAATTTAAACCACAATTCAAAATTCAAAATTCAAATCTAAACTGCTAAACTAAATTAACTACTCAATCTAAAAATCAAAGCCAAATAGTCATGATGTCCACCAAAGGGCGTTTCCTACGCTGGTATGTACGTCTGAATCTGCCCGTGATGTCCTCATCAGGTGTAATCTTTCTTTTGCACTTGTTTGTATTAGCTCAATGTGGGCTTTCAAATGACGCAAATACAGAATGATAAATTATCTGCCATTGAGGTAACAACATTCCCTGCTATTGGGACTAAACAAGCTACGTATCCTTGACAAATTAACTACAAACGGCCCTATAACCGCTTCAGATCATGTTGCTTCTTTGTTCTTCCCTATTTCCGCTGAAGAAACACCTTTCTGCCAAGTAAGTGTAATCTCAGTATCCTTGATGAGAAGATACAAACAGGTAGGCAAGTAACATAAGATCAAGTATATGATGGCTGTATTTGCCTTTTTCCAATACGTTGGCTAGTAATAGCAATTCTATTATCGAAATTCACTTCAATTGTAACACTAACATTCGACATTAGTCTAGATGACCTGCCTTAAATCTTTTGGTAAATACAACAAAATTTCTAGTGCAAATGCTTTATCTACGTCTCAATTATGACAGACACATTGACATGCTGAGCCGACATGTCAATCCTATGTGGTTTAGGTGGACACTGGTAATCCACGATGAAGCAATAATTCAACAATGTATTTTGGATATGTTACAAATAGAACAAACTAGACTAACAACTGCGGACATTAAAACATCCGAATGTTTCACATATGAACTCTTAAAGTCCCTCGAACCATTATACCAAAACTCTAAAGTTATGGCGAGGATTGAGAATTATATTTTTACATTCTAACATGTCTCTGTACGTTGAACGTCCTTTTTACGGGCTAAAACCCGGGCTTACGCAGTGGTGTCAATCTTTAAAAGAAACCCACATTTGAATTCGCGGCTGATGAGATTTGAACCTAAGTTACTCTGATACCATCTTAAAATCCCTCTAACCGTTACACCAGAATTTTAAAGTTGTGGTAAGGATTGATGGTTATATTTTTATATTCTAACAGGAACAAAAGACAATAGAGAGGTTCAAAGAGCTATCCAATTAAAAAATAATCGGAATACTATCTCCTCATACACCCTTCTAACTAGCAATATTTTAAAAAGCTCCAGCCTCGGCCTTGGGAGCACCTAGGGGAGCGGAGACCACTTACGCAAATTGCGACGTAGGTCTTAGTCATCATTTCCTTCGTTGCCGCCTCCACATCCTCTAGCCTCCTCCAAACTTCTCTGGCTACCTCCACCAACTACAAACTCCTACTCCTCTGATCTTTAGCAAAACTTTCTCCATCACCACAAAAACAAAAAAAAATCCTTCTAAGCCTAGCACATAATGTTTTGATAATATTGATTGTAATTATAAAATAAAAATAGTGAAATGCTTAGACTCCGCTTAGACTCCTGCCTAGGCCATTGGCTCTAGGGGCCGG